AGTGTGAATATGTCCGCTAATTTATGACGTCACGTTGGTTGCAAGCTCAACTTACACTGGTTATAAATGTATTAACTCTAAAAACTGTAGATATCAGTCCGCGTTTTTCTCCAGTATTTTATCACATTTACCAGTGACTGAAGTTAGAAATTATTATCTTGGATGATAGCCATGATATTGAACCATTTTGAAGAGCTTGCAACCAACATGACGTCATAAATTAGCGGACATATTCACACTCATCTACATACCAAACAAACTGAAATATCTCGGGAACAAACCATAACAACAAGAAACTGAAAATAACTTACACTACAGCTTAAAGAGTTCTTTCATTTAAGAAAATAAAAAAATTCATATGCACTTTAAGTTCCAAAACGATGAATCAACGTGGTACCAGTTCCTGGTCCCAGAAGTAGTACGGTCGTACTTTCCAGGACGACAATGTCGATTTCACTCAAACATTTTTGAGACATATTTCTTGGAACATTGTACATGCAACTCAGGTATGTATTGGTTTATATTTAATTCCGGCAATAAAACATCGATAACATTGATTTATTTTAGTGTTATATAAAATAAATAATGAATGTTTTCATTCGTGCAATAGTAAAAAATATTTGCGTGAGGTGAAAGGTGATAGCCGAAATCACCTCATGACATTTTTATCGTTGCACCCATAAACATTCATTATTTGTATGTTGTACGAATCCAAAATAAAGCAATATCATTGAGATAAATTCCCTTATTATGTTACTCTATTTCCTATTAAAGGCATACAGCTACACTGTATTTCAGTTAAGGTTGTCCACGAGCAAAGCGGAAAAGTCGAATACGAGCGCGAAAGGCTGCTGGGAATCGCTTTGAAAGTTCATTAATTTGTTAGCGATTCCCAGCAGCCTTTCGTGCTCGTATTCGACTTTCCCGCTTTGCTCGTGGACAACCTTAATTGAAATAGCTGTATACGCAAATCCCTATTTGATAACCGCAAATCCTCTATTAAACAGTGAAGTTGCCAGCGAGGGGGGGGGGGGAATTCCCGGAGGAGCCGAATTAATTTTATCCGTACAAGTTCGAATATAGTTTGATTATTACCTGAAAACGTTCCTGGCTTCCCAGGCTATCCATGCATAATATATAACACAATGAAACTGTAAGGGATTCGGGGGGTACGCTCCCCGGGAAATTTTTTTTAAATTTAGAGTGGCATTTTCTGAACATCTTGATTATTCCAAGAGGAGGGGGCAATTTCGCCAAGGGGGCAGGGCCCTGGGCTCCTCTCTCAGCTTCGTTTATGCGAAAAGTCCGCTTTCCAAATAAGTCGCCTCTCTCTGTTATTGAAAAACACGTGTGTATTTTGGTTAGATTTCTTAATTTGCTTTAAAATTCACATTAATTTACTGGGGGCGGGGGCATGTAGAGGATTTACGGTCTAGTTCCAGTAAAGACGTTTGCTTAAATTAAAACATAAGGAACTATTTATTTATTTAAATAAATAAATAAATAGTTCCTTATGTTTTAATTAAGCAAACGTAATTGAAATTCTAATTGCTAAAAGTAATTGAAATTCTAATGGCAAAGTAAGTTAGCGATTCAAATGAAAATGTTTATGTCGTTATCATAAAAGTGTTCATGACAAAAGTGTGCAATATGGCATATTTTACCCTAGCCAAGTAACACCGTCTAACAAGATTGTATTAGTGTCATATAACGCATCGTTAATATTGAAAGATATTCTGTTCCAAATTGCCATTTCATCATTTGTCAGCGATCAGTTAAGATAATTAATTTGTCAGTTAAAAATACAAGGAAATGTTCTTTATGTGGTCAAAACCGTCACTTTGAAACCCACTATACTACTCTTTCAAACAGTCCTTAACATATCCAAGCACTTTCGTGGCTGCATCAACCGCCATCTCTGCTTCATTCTTGTCGAATGCTTCGGCTGGAACGATGTTAAATGGTTGACAGTTAGGATACCGAGTACCTAGATAATATCGGTACTTAGGTAATTTTCTCACCGATTCCATGACTGCCTCGTTCGGTCGCCCTGTTTCTTTCTTGAGCACATCTGCCAGTTCTTCCACCTCATGAGAGCCAAGCAATTGACCAGAGATCCCACAGTAGTAAAAAAACATGGCCTTTAAGCATTTCTCTAGTACTTGGTGGCTGTGGAAACAGGCCATGGCGTTGAAAGGCGGACCTGATTGGAGTGACCATCTTGAACTTTTTAAGTCACTCTTGGATTGTTCTAGCCAGCGGATTGCTTCCTCGCGGTTCATTTGATAAAATCTTTCGTCTTCCTCTTCATCTCTGATCCTGGCAGATATTTGAAAAACAGTTAAAAGCAATCCCTTAGCCTTAAACCATTTCTAATCCATTTTTAATTCCTAATCCTGATTCTACCCACAATAATCTTTCCGTAATCATAATCCTGATACTAACAATCCTTACTACCTATATTATACCGCTGAATTTTACCCATACCTTAATCATAACCTAAAACGTTTACTGTTGTGCACTAAATGGGAAGGAAACTTTAGCTTCGGCAAAGTGCATACCATGAACTTGGTCGATTT